GCCTGTCACGGCGCTGAGCTGACCGGCGCTGCAGGTTGAGCCACACGCGAGGCTGGCGGTCTGGAGGGTGACGCCCGACACGTCGAGCGTGTGCGAAGAGGCCTTGAACTGCGAGGAGACGGAGTGGCCCTCAAAACGGAGGGCCGTCGTGTTGAAGAAGAGGCGCACGCGCCATGCGCTCATCGCATGCGAGCGCGTCGAGGCGTACAGATACACATCAAAGGGCGCGTCCGTCAGACACGACACGGTGGGAAGCGTGGCAAAGACCGTATCCTTCTCTGGCTGATGCCCCGCCGGGGCTGCGCGCTCAATCGTCTCGTCCGCCGAGCGGAGCAGCGGGTCGTACCACGCCGGCTGCCCGGCGTCAGAACCGCACCCAGCCTTGTTGGTGATGACGGACGCCGGGAGGGCACACAGGAGGAGGACAGAGAGCGGCATAAACACACACTGTTGCTCTGGGAAAGCTCCGCGCCCCACCCTTTGCCTCCTATCTCTCGGCCACAAAAGGCGAGCGGCGTTGTTGTGGCGGTGGCCGCGCCGACTCAACGTCGGGGCGATTTTTTTCTTTTTTCACACCCTTCAGCTTAGAGAGTTCGGCTGTCAGAAAACACGCCTCCGTGGCTCGGGTTACACCAATCCTCGCTACCCTACACCAAAGGATATCCACCTCGAGAACCTCGAGAAAACTAAGAAAAAAGAAAAAAGGCCGACACAATGTAGCGGGCCATCGAGGTGGGACTGAGTTTGCCAATGCCCCGGCCTCGACGACGCCGACAGAACCTCCTCGGTGTAGACGACGGCGGCCTGGTGCACGTCGGCAACGCGACGATTGACGCGGCGCTCACCCAGTGGCTTTCGGCGAGGTACACACAATTCACTGCTACGCCGCTCCACTCACCGCTCCACTCACTGCCGCGCCTCTCACTGCTACATGGCCGCACCGGAGCCCCCTCGCTTCCCCAGCGCCACGCCTCTCACTGCTACACGGTGTACCGTCGCGAGCTGCCTCGCTTCCCCAGCGATCGCTCTCTCGCGACACGCGCATCTTCGATTGACACGCTGGGCCGTCCCGCAGGCACGGCTCCCTGAAGTGCGACTATGACTCTACGCCAGTCTACTTTGCGCCGATGTCGCCCAACGGGATCGGCAACAAGGTCCTCGCCCTGACGATGTCCTTCCACCTCGCACTCATGCAAGGGCGCGCCTTCGTGGTCACCGACTGGCCTCCCGCGACGCTTCCGACCTCGTACCCGCTGCATGAGGTTGTCCGACCGTCCGCGTGCCAAGCCCTCTTTGACGAGGACCAGCGCGGGCGGCCCCCGATCGCGAAGAGCACCATCCGGTGGAGCCCTCTCACCACCGCCAGCCGCTTCAAGCACGCCTTCACGCAGCCGCACTGTGAAGAGTACAGCTGTGAACAGTACAGCTGTGAATAGGCACGCCTTCACGCAGCCGCACTGTGAAGAGTACAGCTGTGAACAGTACAGCTGTGAATAGGCACGCATTCACGCAGCCGCACTGGTGCCACCAGTCCACACGGCTCCTCGAAGTGCCGCCCGAGTGGGCGAGCCGCGTCTCGTGGCTGCAGTGGTGGCGCGCGCTCACCCAGCACCTCTACTCGCCGGGCCGCCGCCTCGCCGCGGGCATGGCCGCCACGCTCCGCGCCGCATCGCTGCTCCGCTCTCCGGCACCTCGAGCCGGGGCAGGCCGCGAGGAGGCGCCGCTCTGGGTCGCCCCGCCGCCTGCCGCTGGCGACCCGGCTGGCGGAGAAGCGAGCGACTCCCCCGCCTCCTCCTCCTCCGCCGCCGCCGCCGCCGCCGCTTCCTCCTCCTCCTCCTCCTCCTCCTCCTCCTCCGCCGCCGCCGCAGCCGCCTCCGCCGCCTCCGCCGCCTCCGCCGCCTCCCTCCGCGCCCCCTTCCACGCCGCCTTCTCCGATGGCGTGGCGGCGTGGAAGGCGGCGGTGCGCCGCCCCCTCGTCGGGCTGCATGTGCGGCTGGGCGACGGGTGTGGCGACGCCAAGCGAGGCGGCTGCAAGTACGTCACCTCCTTCGCCGGCGCGGTGGCGCGGCTGCGCGACGCGGGCATCACCGGCGGCAGCCATGCCCCTCGCCACCGACAGCGCGCGGCTGCCGTGAGATGGTGGTTTCGAGTGGTAGCTGTTCATGGTTAGGCACACTCTTCCTCGCCACCGACAGCGCCGCGATCGCGGCGGCGGCAGTCTCGGAGGTGATCGAGGGTTTCGAGGTGCTGATGCTGCGCGAGGACCTGCAAACTACAGTTGCTATGAACTACCACTCATCGCCACACACTGACTAGGTGCTGATGCTGCGCGAGGACCTGCAAACTACAGTTGCTATGAACTACCACTCATCGCCACACACTGATTAGGTGCTGATGCTGCGCGAGGACCTGCAAACTACAGTTGCTATGAACTACCACTCATCGCCACACACTGATTAGGTGCTGATGCTGCGCGAGGACCTACAAACTACAGTTGCTATGAACTACCACTCATCGACACACACTGATTAGGTGCTGATGCTGCGCGAGGACCGCGCCGCCATCGACAAGTCGCACCGCAAGAACGAGCGGCGGAGGGAGGGTGACGAGATGCTGCACTTGCAGCTGCTCGACCTCGCACTCCTCTCCCAGGCGAGATCGCGCCGAGATCGCTCGAGATCAGTCGAGGTCGACCGAGGTCGTGCGAGGCTGCTTGTGACTGGGCCTCGCAGGCGGACGTGCTGGCCGGCTCCTTCGCGTCCACCTTCATCAAGGTCGCGCTGCAGCTGGGTTCGGCTCGCATGTACGTCTCTCTCGACACCTTCCCGTGGTGCCCGCTGCTGCGCTGCTACTGGACATGGCGCGACCTCTGCCACAACTGCGAGGTGTGATCTCCCCACATCTCCCCACATCTCCCCCCATCTCCCCCCATCTCCCCCACATCTCCCCACATCTCCCCCCATCTCCCCCCATCTCCCCCCATCTCCCCCCATCTCCCCCCATCTCCCCCCATCTCCCCCCATCTCCCCACATCTCCCCCCATCTCCCCCCATCTCCCCCCATCTCCTTACGTCTCCCCCCATCTCCCCCCATCTCCCCAGTGACCTCTGCCACGACTGCGAGGTGTGCGCCAACCAAGCGGGCGGCGGCGAGGCATGCTTTGACCGCGGGTACCACACCGCTCGCGGGTTCGAGAGGCAGACCAGAGTCGCCTCGCTGGAGCGGCGCCCCTTTGCCGCCTTTGTGTCGCTCCTCGGCCCCTCCTCTCGCTGCCCGCACCTCTCCCGCCACCCGCTCGCCGACACCGCCTACGCCGCGCCCGTCGTCGGCGCCTCCTTCGCGCCTCGCGTCGCCTCGCCGCCGCGCGACGTCTGCAGCTCGGGGCGCGGCCCGGACGGCTGCCGCTGCGGCTTTCGGCGGCTGCGCGGCGTGGACAACGCGGCGGCCGCGCGCCGCAAGCCCTTCTACGGTTACGGGGTGGCGAGGGTGGTTTGGGCGGCGGGGGAGGAGCCGTCGCTGGCTGCGTGCGAGGCACGCTGCTGCGACGAGCCAACCTGCCACTCGGTGACGTACGACCGGAACAGCTCCGCTTGCACCGCCGGCCTGGCCATTGCCCACGGCGAGTGATCTCCCATATCTCCCCACATCTCCCCACGGCACTGCCGGCCTGGCCATTGCCCACGGCGAGTGATCTCCCATATCTCCCCACATCTCCCCACTGCACCGCCGGCCTGGCCATTGCCCACGGCGAGTGATCTCCCATATCTCCCCACATCTCCCCACTGCACCGCCGGCCCGGCCATTGCCCACGGCGAGTGATCTCCCCATATCTCCCATCACCCCATATCTCCCCATATCTCCCCACATCTCCCCACTGCACTGCCGGCCTGACCATTGCCCACCGCGTGCGGCCGACTGGTGCTGGAGGCCGAGATCAGCCGAGATCGCCCGAGATCAGCCGAGATCGCCCGAGATCAGCCGAGATCGCCCGAGATCAGGCGCGCGGCCGACCGACTGGTGCTGGAGGCCGCAGCTGGCGGCGCCGACGACGGTCACCTCGCTCCGGCTGCCGGGCGGGTGGGAGGAGGAGGCGCTCGCGGCGGCGCAGCGGGTGCTCAAGGGTGGGCGGCTCGTGCGGCGCGGCGGCCGGCCGCAGGGCGCGCGCCACTTCCGCAAGAGCTGGCGCGAGATCACCCGAGACCACCCGAGATCACCCGAGATTAGGCGCGCGCCTCTTCCGCAAGAGCTGGCGCGACCCGGCGGGGCACACGCACCCGCTCGAGCGATCGCTCACTCCGCGGGGCTGCGGCGAGGGGAGGGGAGGGGCGAGGGGCGCCCGCTGGAGGGAGGCCGTCCCCATCTCGGACCTGCTCGCCGACGCGATCCCGCACTTTGACCCGCGGCCCGGAAAGGGGGCGGCGCCAACGCAGGAGCCGGCCTGCCCTGAGCCGGCCGCGGGCGGCGACGGAGCGGAGGGACGCGCTTCAAAGTAGGGAGTGTGCACGTGCCACGTCAGAACGCCGCTCAGCATTCAGCAATGTGTATCGCGCGCCTTGCGGGGGGGGCGCGGAAATAAGAGGAACCTCTTATTAAGTTTCCACATCGCCGCGCGGAGCTCAGCTGCAAACGAGCGGCACACAAGCGAAGCGCAGGCTCTGGGTCCTCTGTGCTCGCTGTGTGCTCTGTCTGTTCCTTTTTATTTACCTTATCTTACCTGCACCTTGCCTGGCTTAGATGTTAGCCGTGCGCGTCACGCGCGTCGGTGCGGACACACAGACAGAGGCAGGCGCGACAGTAACAGTAACAGCTTAGGGCTACGGGCCGAGAACTTGTGGGAGAGCAGAGACGAGATAACTCAGACATGCATCAGCCATGCGAGCGGGGGGAGTTCCACCCCTCAACGCGAGTGTGCGGCGGCGGCAACTCTCCCAAGGAGCCGGGGCGCCTCTGGCGGCGACACTCCGAGTGCGAGACTTGGCGAGGAAGCATCCCACTCCGCCTCACAGCCCCACCGGGTACGCCTGGGCCTGCGCCGCGAGCGCGCCCAGCTCGCCCTTGGAGCCGTGTGCCGAGCCCGAACGGTAGAGGAAGTTGCCCGTGCGGTAGGCCTGACAGGGCCAAGGTTAGGGCTAGGGTTAGGGTTAGTTGCCCGTGCGGTAGGCCTGACAGGGCCAAGGTTAGGGCTAGGGTTGGGGTTAGTTGCCCGTGCGGGAGGCCTGCAGCTGCTCGAAGGCGACGCCCTTGGCGACGAAGGCGCAGGGCGGGCCAAGCAGCGAGAAGGAGGAGTCGATCTTCTTGGCCTCGGTCGCCTGCGTAGCGGGCGAGCGCTGCGATCTCCCCAGATCTCCCCAGATCTCCCCAGATCTCGGTCGCCTGCGTTGTGGGCGAGCGCTGCGCGAGGTCGAGCTTGAACTGCTGCGCGACCGACATGTTGACCGCACGCAGCTGGCGCTCGGGCCCGCCGACGAGCTTCTCGAGCGTCGCCGCGATGAGCTCCGGCTGCTCGGCGAAGATGTGGTGCGACGAGTCAGGCACGCGCTGCAGGTGGAGCTCGTCCTCCTCGAAGGCGTCCGCCCAGCCGATCAGGTCGGCGCGCGCGGTGACGCCGTCCTGCGGCGGGAGCAGACCGACGCTGCAGGGAAGGTACGCGCGGTGCCGTGCAGCGGGTGCAGAGCATCGCGGTTGCCAGAATGTCTAGATATGGAACAGGCAAGGGCGCGAGTCCAATGTTGGCAGCTGGCTAAAGTCGAGGAGCGTGTCGACTCGACCGCACTTCGGAACGCGCGGATCGGCGTGTGGCATCTAGAGATGTGGCATCTAGAGATGTGGCATCTAGAGATGTGGCATCTAGAGACGCCGTCCTGACGGCCGAGGAGGACCGTGCCGCCGCACGGGAGCGGCTTGGCCGTCGCCTCGTCCAGCGTGAAGTCCTCGTACAGCTGGCAGTCGGCGCGCAACGCGCCGATGACGGCGGGCGTGATGGAGGACGGCTCGGCGCCGGAGGCGCGCAGGAACGCCTCGAGCGCGCTGTCGCTCAGCTGGCCGATGGGCGTGTCGTCGTACGCGCCTACTCATTCATGAACCAAGTAGTGCATCAATGGATGAGCTCAGCTGTCGCTAATCAATGAATGTCGTCGTGCGCGCCGAGCCCGTTGTAGCGGCTGGTCGCCTCGAGCGACTCGTTGCCCGACACCACGACGTGGCACGGGCAGAAGCCTTCCCGAGCGTGCAGCGCCTGCGCCACGAGCAGCGCGGCGACCGAGCCCCACGAGTCGCCTACAGGGACGACACCGCAGCGCGCTCCTCCTCCCGTTCTTGTTGAGGCCTCGACCCCCGCGCCCCACGCGTCGCCGACGAAGACGCACGGCCCGTGCCGCATCTGAGGCAGGTGCTCGGCGATCGCGTCGACGATGGGGAGGGTGTACTGCTCGATGGTGGCCGCGTGCGGCTCCCCCTCGCGCGCGCCGCGGCCGGGCGGCTGCACGAAGTAGCAGGTCGCGCGCGGGGTGACGCGGGCGAGCGCGACAAACAGCGGCGCAAACTGCTCGGGCGAGCCGCCCGCCATCGGGAAGAAGACGAAGGAGGGGGAGGGCGCCTCGAGGCGCATCTCGAGCAGCGGCAGCTGCTTGCGGCCGCGCGAGCACCGCCGCTTGACGACCCACTGCGAGCTCCCGTCGCCGCTCGGCGAGCCCGGGCGCGAGTCCGTCGAGGCGACGACGAGACTCGCAATGTCTGCGAACGGCTCGGTCAGCACGACAAAGACCGAGACGCAGGCGCCGAACACCTCGCGGAGCGAGGCGACGATGGACATGGCCAGGAAGGAGTTGCCTAGACCACAGCTGGCGGACATGTCCTCTCGACGTGTCCTGGACGTGTCCCGGACTCGGAACGCGGCGAGGGAGAATCTGCCTCCGTGCTGCGCAAACGTGTCGCCCGGCAGCACGCCGTCGGAGGACACGCCGAGGAAGGAGACCACGAGCGCCATCACGGCGGCCTTCTTGGTGCCTGCGTCGCCGCCGCTCCACTTCTCCTTGAGCTCATTGAGCAGCGCCTCCGAGAGGTAGTTCCCCTGCTTCTTCGCGTCCGCCGTCTTGACTGCGTTGGTCGCGCGCTCGGCATCGAACGGCGCGGCCAGCTCCTCCGCCGACAGCGCGGCGGCGGCGGAGGAGGAGGAGGCGGGGGAGTCGCTCGCTTCTCCGCCAGCCGGGTCGCCAGCGGCAGGCGGCGGGGCGACCCAGAGCGGCGCCTCCTCGCGGCCTGCCCCGGCTCGAGGTGCCGGAGAGCGGAGCAGCGATGCGGCGCGGAGCGTGGCGGCCATGCCCGCGGCGAGGCGGCGGCCCGGCGAGTAGAGGTGCTGGGTGAGCGCGCGCCACCACTGCAGCCACGAGACGCGGCTCGCCCACTCGGGCGGCACTTTGAGGACCCGTGTGGACTGGTGGCACTAGTGCGGGGGGGGGGGGGGGGGCGTGTGTGTGGGGAGGGGGCGGGCGCCTCGCAGCCGTCGTCCACTTGGAGCCCGTCGGCAAAGTACATCTCGTCGTAGATGGCCCCCCACGTGGCGGCGGTGCGCTGGTCGGTCACCCACTTGCTCACCGCCGTGTGGTCGACCTTGCCGGCCGAGCCGAGCGGCATCGCGCCTACGGGACGTGTTCTCGGACATGTCGTGGACGGGTCGGGCGGACACGGGCCCGAGGCCGAGCGGCATCGCCGCCTACGGGAACGTGTCTCGGACATGTCGTGGACGGGTCGGCGGACACGGGCCCGAGCCGAGCGGCATCGCGCCTACGGGACGTGTCTCGGACATGTCGTGGACGGGTCGGCGGACACGGGCCCGAGCCGAGCGGCATCGCGCCGCGCAGGTGCCACTCGGCCGGAATGTACGACGACGGCATCTCGAGCGCCAGCGCGGCCTTGATCAGTTCAGTACCGTCAGTGGAGGTGAACAGTCGAGTTACCCACTTCATCTCGAGTGCGACGGCGGCCTTGATCTCCCCGCCGCTGACGCGCGCGCCCGGCCGCGCGACGGCGACGCCGACGAGGGACCCCTCGACGAGCTCGACGGCGACCTAATGCACCATTGGCTCCGAATGAGCTCCTCACTAACAACCCCTCGACGAGCTCGACGGCCACGTTGAGCAGCTGCGGCACGAGCCGGAGGGAGGCGGCCTCGATTTCGCCCAACTCCATCCGCACGCCGCCGACCTTGACCTGGCCGCAGAGTGCCCGAGATTACCCGAGATTACCCGAGATTACCCGAGATTGAGCCCACCTTGACCTTCCCGCGCGAAGCCGAGAGAGGCCAGCTGTGAGAGGCCAGCTCCAAGCGGGTGGCAGTGTCAGTTGAGGTAGTAGCAGCAGCTCAGAGTGTGCGCTGCTCCAGTGTGGCTGTCTCTCCGCCTCACCGGCAGCTCGCTGTACTGACAGATCCGCCTCTCTATCCACCTCGACCTGCCGGTCGGCGCGGCCAGAGTACTGCAGATCTCGGGTAATCTCGGGTAATCTCGGGTAATCTCGGGTAATCTCGGGTAACCTGCCGGTCGGCGCGGCCGAAGTACTGCAGCCGTCCGCCCGCGTCGCGGCTGCCCAGGTCGCCGGTGCGGTAGAGCAGTCCGGGGCCTAGCGGTGTAGTGGTCCGAAGCGTCCTCACCCACGACAGTCGCCCGAGCGGCAGAGAGCAGCCACGCGCCGTGCGGGAGGTGTGGGGAGATGTGGGGAGATGTGGGGAGATGTGGAGAGATGTGGGGAGATGTGGGCAGAGAGCAGCCACGCGCCGTGCGGGAGGTGTGGGGAGATGTGGGGAGATGTGGGGAGATGTGGAGAGATGTGGGGAGATGTGGGCAGAGAGCAGCCACGCGCCGTGCGGGAGATGTGGGGAGATGTGGGGAGATGTGGGGAGATGTGGGGAGGTGTGGGGAGATGTGGGGAGATGTGGGCAGAGAGCAGCCAGCGCCGTGCGGGAGGTGTGGGGAGATGTGGGGAGATATGGGGAGATGTGGGCAGAGAGCAGCCAGCGCCGTGCGGGAGGTGTGGGGAGATGTGGGGAGATATGGGGAGATGTGGGCAGAGAGCAGCCAGCGCCGTGCGGGAGGTGTGGGGAGATGTGGGGAGATATGGGGAGATGTGGGCAGAGAGCAGCCAGCGCCGTGCGGGAGGTGTGGGGAGATGTGGGGAGATATGGGGAGATGTGGGCAGAGAGCAGCCAGCGCCGTGCCAGCGCCGTGCGGGAGGTGTGGGGAGATGTGGGGAGATATGGGGAGATGTGGGCAGAGAGCAGCCAGCGCCGTGCGGGTTGAGCACGAACTTCTCCGCGGTGAGCTCGGGCCGGTCCAAGTAGCCGTAGGCGACCTGGGGAGATGTGGGTAAGGTAAGGTAAGGTAAACTTCTCCACACACACGAGGTGGTGGGGCAAGGGGGATGTGGGGAGATGTGGGGAGATGTGGGGAGATGTGGGGAGGTGTGGGGAGATGTGGGGAGAGTTAAGGTGGCCATACGCGACCTGGATGCCGCCGATGGAGATCTCGGGTCATCTCGGGTCATCTCGGGTCATCTCGGGTCATCTCGGGTCATCTCGGGTCATCTCGGGTCATCTCGGGTCATCTCGCGACCTGGATGCCGCCGATGCAGATCTCGCCGCGCTGGCCGGCCGGGAGAGGCGTCGCTGGGTCAGAGGGGTCGAGTACGTACACGGGCACGCCGGCGTCGCCCTGGAAGCCGATCGGGTATCCGTGCGTGACCGCGTCGTCCTCGGCGAGGCACTCGTAGTAGGAGACCTCGATCGACGCCTCGGGGAGATGCGGGGAGATGTCGGGAGATGTGGGGAGATGTGGGGAGATCGACGCCTCGGTGGGGCCGTACAAGTTGACGAGATGTGGGGAGATGTGGGGAGATGTGGGGAGATGTGGGGAGATGCGGGGAGATGTCGGGAGATGTGGGGAGATCGACGCCTCGGTGGGGCCGTACAAGTTGGCGAGATGTGGGGAGATGTGGGGAGATGCGGGGAGATGTGGGGAGATGTGGGGAGATG